GGTAAAAAGGGGGGAAACAGCCATTGGCAATTGACGAACCGGAAATCGAGGAAAATTTCCATTCGTCGCCCACTGTTGTGTGGGGGAGGCTGCGCCTGTACCTCTCGGCGGACAATACCGCTCACCCGGGTTTCTCCACAATTACGAGCTTTGAATTTTTCTTCTTAAGATATTTGGCTTGATGACACGATGTAATTATCCGCAAAATTTCACTCGAACAAAAAACACAAAACGAAGTTTTGAGGTCCCCGCGATGCACAATTGGACGACCAGTGAATAAGGTTTTTTAGTTTTATACCCGTAATTTTTTTTTATACTTAATGAATGAATAGCGTCAGTTATATAAAATTTCTTCGAAATTAATTTTTAATTTTATTTTAACTCTGTTTCAATTAGTTAAGATCGAATATCACTGGTAGTCCTCACTGATTTGTTTCTTCTCTCATAATTGCACCGCCCCCCTCTTCTAACGTGACCCCACCTTCCCGTAAATTATCATACTGTGTTCAAAATTTTTGGCTGAATTTTCCGGTACACTTCTTGGAAATTTTTATCAAATTATAATTCAACTGAAATTTCAAGAAATTTTGTAATTATAAATTCAAAAATGGAACAGTTGATGAAAGCAGTAAATTTTAGTTCAGTCATTTCATAAAAATTCCCCATTAAAATTATTTCAAAACACAAAATAAAACATTTTTCATCATCTAATGAACAATCAATTTATCGCCTTGAAACAATTTTACAAAAATTCTTTATAATTTCATTCATATCCAGAATGCTTTCAGCAACCGATTTCATGACAGAAATAAATGTTCCCAACAGGTCAAGTAATTTCTGTCATTTATTCATAAAAGGGAAATGTAAGAAATAACGCATTAAATAATCAAAAAACCTCTAACATAATTTTTAAAATTTTTAGTACAGTTCAAGATGCAAAATCCCCCCAAAAATCCCCACCCCAGATATTCAACACAATGAAACAATCATAATTCATGACTCATTTACTATTTTCGTCGACTTGATCGAAATCACGTGAACTTTAAAAACATCTAAAAAAGCACCTGACATTTGTAGGGAATCCATCGATTCTCGCATCCGATGGGGATGACTTCTTTAAATAGGAAATTCATCTTCATTAACTATTGTATAGCCTAGGAATTACATTAGATTGATCGCAGTGGGCATTGCTATTGGCATTAATGTACGAGTCCGTCTGGAATGCTTTCAACTGTATCAAAACAGAATGGATAAGTCTTGTTCTCCAGGGGCGAGAGGGAGAGGGATCCCAAGGTGTATTTGCACTAGTTCCAGTTCACAATTCTAACCACCATCCGCAGTTACTGGCTTATCGATCGTGAGGAACCAGAGCCACATCGCCTTGTTGGTTTCGTCAAACAGTCACTCTCTCTCACACCCTTAACAGAATGAGGCCAAACGACCCAAATTTTACAGACTGCCGCGAAACATTTTCAGTTTTCTTTGGATTATTTTTCACCTTTTATTCTTTTGGAGGATTTTTTCAAGCTGAAATAGCTTAATTGCGTGACTCTGAGGGCGTCGATGCACTGTTGGAAAGCTAGGCTCGAAATTACAGGGAAGAAAAATTGTAATTCTAATTGTAAATCGAAACAAATTACTAAATCTTATGAACTTTATATGCACTTTGTTATTGACTTAAGAGATGCAATAATTTTTTTATTTCATACAAAAAATGTCTCATATAATTTTATAAATAATTGGAATGGGAAAAGACCTGAATATTTGAACAATTATAATGAAAATCAACGGGTCACTTTTAAGTCCCGAATAATGTGGTTCATGATATGATTTCAAATTCAAAGAATGTTCTCATTAATTTCATTGTTATTTGGCACTTGCCCCTAAGAGTGTTTGGGGATAAAGCCATTTGGAATAGAAGAAGAACTTCATTGTTTTCAATATTCTTTTCTTTTATTTATTTTTTTCAAATCATATCAAGAAATAAATAATATTCCTTCCCTACAAGTTTTCAATACTCGAAAATGTTTTTAAATTAATGACCATATTCGTCGTATAACAATAGTACTACGTTGTCCAAGAATCTGACAATGCTGACGAATTTAGTGACAAAGAATTCACGATAGTGAAAATGGATCAAAAGCTGAGTTTTCCCATTCATATCATCCAGCGTACTGGAATTTCTGTGACATCACTCGAGGATCCTCCGATTTTTCAACGAATATCTGGGACTGGGTATCGTCGACTCGACGTATCGACAGCGACACGACAGCTTCAATTTCCTCTCAGATTTTTTTCCCCGAGTCTTCTCAACCCAACTTGATGGAAACACGGTGCAGACGCACTGAGTTGAGTTCGAAAATATTTTTAAAAAAATGAGGAAAACCCTCTCAACTCTATTTTTACTGAATTCAATTCACCAGTTTCATGTTCTCATAGTGTTTCGCATGAAGAGGAAAAACAGTTTTTCATGCATTTGTTTTTTCGTCGACTGCACAGGGAAGCAATTCATAAATTAATCTAGGGAAAAAATAACGACCTTGCAGGAGGAAAGTTTTGATGGCCGAGGCATTGACGCACTTTGAGTCACGTAGTGATACAGGTTTCCCATTAGACCACGAGTTGATGTTATTTTTGCGTTTCATCGGGGATATTTTAAGACTCCACCAAATGGCAATACCCCGCATGTCAGGTGCGTTGGAAAAATAGGAAGAATTGAGTGCCTGGTTCAATTCCCTCTCGCCCCTTCCTCTAGAAGAGACAAATTGATGAGGATTTGAAAAATTCATAAATCATGTCGAGAAACGACTTATTTTAAGGCGTCCTCAACGGCTTGAATGGCGTCGCCCTTGAAAATGTGCAACCTGGCGAGTTAATTCAAAGCAGATTCTGCGACTCAATTCACAGATTTTGTGACTCGATTCAAGTCAAATTGATACTTGATTCAAGTCGGGAAAATGTAGAGAAAGAAAAAGTAGTTCTTCTTTCGTTTACTTGTATCACTAGAACTCGGATTTTTTAAATCAAGTATCTTCCAGACTTGAATCAATTATCAATTCGACTCGGAGCAAGTATTTCGACTTGAATGAAGTCGTTATATACTAGTTAAAATGAGTAGATTTTCCGGGTTGCGAAAATACTTGACCCTTATGAAAGAGTCGTCTTTCGTTTACTTGTATCACTAGAACTTGAATTTTTTAAATCAAGTATCTTCCAAACTTGAATCAAGTGTTAATTCGACTCGGTTCAAGAATTTCGACTTGAATAAAGTCGGTATGTACTACCTAAAACGAGTAGATTGTCTGGGCATAATGAGCCCATTTGTTTCTTGTTGAATCAAGTAAGCGACGACTTGAAACTTTTCTTCTTCAAATAATTCAATTTTTTATTCACTGCTAGTCCTAAATCTGAATTAATTCAATTATACTCACTTTACTGGAAGCAATGGAATTTCAGATTCTATGACTTGATTCAAGTCGAATTGATACTTGATTCAAGTTGCGAAAATACTTGACCCTTATGAAACAGTAGTTTTTCTTTCGTTTACTTGTATCACTAGAACTTGGATTTTTTAAATCAAGTATCTACTTGATTTAGGAGTATTCGACTTGATACCTTTCTGGTTCAAATAATTCAATTTTCGATTCACACCAAGTCAAAAATCGGGATTGAGTCAGTTGTTATCATCGTATTTAGTTAATGGCATCCGTACCATATTTACTCGAATCGAAACTACTTCAATCGTAATTTTCCTTTTGTGGAGATAAATCATCTCTCCCTCACTATCACCTAAATTCACCCGATGAATTGACAATGCAGATGGGAAATACGATAAGTTCATCATAAAGTACTGAAAACATCGTGTACTAGTCATCCATTAGGCTTGGTACGGTGCATTTCAAAAGCTGTTACCACGAGGCCCTTTACCGGAAGTGGGTCACCGTGACTGCATCGTGTAAAAGTTTAACGCGTCTGGGGGCCGAATGTCGTAGTTGAACGTCATCCATTCAATGAGCTACAGCAGCACGTCATGCTATCTTTTACGGTTGCCGGGCACAAATATTCACCAAAAAATTCTCTGTAATGATGCCACAGGGATGGAATAAAAATACCTCATTTTTGGTCGAACTCCATTCACTGGACGGTTGTGAGGAATACTGCGAGGAATTTCATCAGAATATTTCAAGAATAGCTTTTTCGCCGAGCAACGATATTGCGAGAGGCTATCAATCGAATAATTTGGCGTATGAAGTAGCCCAAGTAATTGTTCTCTCAGACTCGTAGAATATTATCCCTGAAATTTCCATATATGTATTATCGACAAGACAGTTGATTTCTAGAAAATTCAATGACATTCCCACTTTCAGATCTATACGAGAATTAAAATTATAAGAAATTATAAAAATTGCAACAATTCAGACAACTGTTGTTCTGCATTCTCAACGTCTCGAACATTCGATCAAATGGAATGTTTAATTTGCACTGTGAGGTCATGAATTATCTAAGGCTCAGTCTTGAATTTTCGTGATGAATGATTTCATTTTAAATTGCATCATTATGCGAATTGTTATTAATTTTGTCTTTTACCAAAATTGTAAAAGGCTATTACTCGAATAATTCGTCGTATGAAGTAGCCAAAGTAATTGTTCTCTCAGACTCGTAGAATATTATCCCTGAAATTTCCATATATGTATTATTTATAAGACAGTTGATTTCTAGAAAATTCAATGACATTCAAACTTTCAGATCTACATGAGGATTAAAATGATAAAAATTTATAAAAATTGTAAAAATTCAGCCAACTATTGTTCTGAATTCTCAACGCACCAAACAATCGAATAAACGAAATGTTGAACTGTGAATTGAACTGTCTAAGCTCAATCTTCTTAAATTTTCATGATAAATAATTTAATCTTAAATTGCCTTCAAATCAACAACATTGAAGGAATTTCTAATGTTTCATTATGTGGATTGTCATTAATTTCGTCTTTTAATTGCAGATCGCTGCCGAAACTCACTGGCCCAGACGAGGAAGGGCCAAACCCTCACACCCAATACACAGGCGTCTCACAGTTCGAGCCAATACCACACGATCATGACTTCTGTGAAAGGGTCGTCATCAACGTGAGTATTCTACCCATTTCTAATCGCTATTGTAAGGAGCGTAAAATTTCGTGGAGAGTACAGCAGTAATTTTCGAAAAAGGCTTACACAATTCGAAGTTCAGCTTGAGATTCAAGTAGGAATAACCTAGCTGAGACTACTTGGATGAAATTGATCTGTAGAATTGCGTCTTTGAAAAATGACTTCCATTGCTGAAATGAAAATTTAGAAAAAATTCTTGCTTTCAGGGTACATCTGCAATATGCGATCTCTGCATGAATGTTGGAGACCCTTTAAAAGTTTATCTACTTCCCGCTGCAACACATATTTCCATTCGCATATTTTTTCCACGCGGAAACTGACGATAAACACTCACATCCCCTCAACTCAATCCACCGATAAATTCTCGCAACAATCTGTATATTTGTCCTTCCAAAACTAATTTTTTTCTCTTATTCTCACCGGTTAACTTCCGAGGCTGATGCATTTTGGCACAGTCGCCAATTGGGCATCGCGTGACGGATTTCGCTGGTGGAAAGAAACTTCAGCAGTACGCCCACCCTCCCGCGAGAGCCCAAAAGTATTATTGGATGAAAAAAATGAATGCAAAAAAAGCGGAATTCAAAATACTGCAGAACGGAAAATCGTAAAAACTGTCAAAAATGATAATCCCAAAAAGGAATGAAATTCAGTGGCTCTGAAACAACTACCGTCCCCAGAATTCATGCATAAATAACAAAAACCAGCGGGATCGTCTCCCTTCTCAATCTGGGTCGTGATTTCCATGCTCCCATTGTAAAGCTAATCGTGAAAGCTCACGCAAAATCTATTCTGCCTTTACCACCAAGAGTTGTGTGTACAAAATTGTCCCTAATTGTCCTCAAGATATATCTCACCCCAGTGTATTCACGTTTTGCGAGCCTAATTTCACGGCAACAATCTTCCGTCTTTCTGAATGTCATTTGTGGATATGAGACAATGTTGTTCATTGAAAATGATGTTACATTTCACAATAAATTTCCGTAATTTTACTAGCTTGTAACATCGCATCTCACACTTGAGCTCACAAAAATTTGGCAGCACAAAAATTAACGCAGACCCTCGTAGAAGAAAAACTTTCCGTCTTTCTGAATGACATTTGTGGATATGAGACAATGTTGTTCATTAAAAATGATGTTACATTTTACAATAAATTTCCGTGATTCCACTATCTTGCTACATCGCATCTCACACTTGAGTTCACAAAAATTTGGCAGCACAAAAATTAACGCAGACACTCGTAGAAGAAAAGAAATTGTGGCTTTACAGTCCAAATAAGATTCTGCGAGAATGTCAGAAAGAAGTGAAGTGACCTAGCCACATAATTTGGCATTTGCCCAAGTTCATCTTGGAATATCTGAAGGAATATAGTATCAAGGTCGTATATTGTGTGCAAAGGGGGATTATCCGTTCTCAACCGGTGACATGACCGCATTGCGCCAATTATTGTAGACACTTTGTCTCTGGAAACCTGATAAAAACTAATCAATCCATTTGGCTATTTATATCCCTCGATGAACGTTTCAATGTTGTTGAAATAATGTGTTTTGTTACTTGAAATTGTTACACCGTTGAATGAATGTTCGGTGATTTCAGGTGAGCGGGTTACGGTTTGAGACACAGCTGCGTACGCTGAACCAGTTTCCGGACACGCTGCTTGGCGATCCGGCAAGACGGATACGTTACTTTGATCCGTTACGCAACGAATACTTCTTCGATAGGAATCGGCCCTCATTCGATGCAATTCTGTATTACTATCAGAGTGGTGGACGTCTGCGACGACCAGTTAATGTTCCCCTCGATGTATTCTCCGAAGAGATCAAGTTTTACGAGCTGGGCGAATTGGCAACCAACAAATTCAGGTGAATTATGTCACATTTGCATATTTCATGCGCAACTATCGCAACTTTCTACTTGGAGGCAGCCAAGCGCTCAATTTTGAGAAAATGTTTGTTATGCTTTACAAGCAAGTTGCTAAGATTCAACAAATAATTCTCTCCATGCACCCAAAGTTGAATAATACCTCCCAAAGATGGGAAACGAGATGGAGATGTTTGCTCCAAATTTGATTGAAAATACTTTGTTTTCCTCCCAGTTTCCGAACTTGGGGAAAGTTTGGTTCCAGTCACGTGGAAGTGGGATAAAGTTTACCCAAAAGTAGGTACGATCATCAGGATTAATGGTTATTTGATGTTTGGTGTTGCAGGGAGGACGAGGGATTTATCAAAGAGGAGGAGAAGCCACTGCCGTCGCACGAGCTTCAGCGAAAAGTTTGGTTACTATTTGAGTATCCGGAGAGCTCACAAGGGGCAAGAGTCGTTGCTATTATCTCCGTATTCGTGATCCTATTATCAATCGTAATATTCTGTCTCGAAACACTACCCGAGTTTAAGCATTATAAAATATTCAACACTACGACTAACGGCACAAAAATTGAAGAGGACGAAGTGCCGGATATTACGGATCCGTTCTTCCTAATAGAGACTATTTGTATCATCTGGTTCACGTTTGAGTTATCGGTGCGCTTCCTCGCCTGCCCAAATAAACTTAATTTCTTCCGTGACCTTATGAATGTCATCGACATCATCGCGATCATTCCTTATTTCATCACACTTGGCACGGTTATTGCCGGAAAGGAGCATGAGATGAATTTGCCAAAGGCACCAGTCAGTCCACAGGACAAAAGCACCAATCAGGCAATGTCCCTTGCGATACTTAGGGTCATAAGGCTTGTGAGGGTATTTCGAATATTTAAGTTGTCGAGGCACAGTAAAGGCCTTCAGATACTTGGTCGAACGCTGAAGGCCTCCATGCGTGAGCTCGGTCTCCTCATCTTTTTCCTCTTCATCGGTAAGTTCATCGGAAAATTAATAAATTATTCAAACATTACTGCAATCGTTATCAAACGGAAGTCATCATCTGGACATATCTATCTTAATTAATGGAAATGGGCCACGGAATTTAGTTTTGAAACGTCTGTACTCTACGTATTACTCTGGCAGACTAAATACCGCTCACAGAGACCAAAAGAATATCGTCAACTAGCGGCAAAGAACTTGTCGTTCTTTCTCCTTATGGAGTTATTGTTTATGTTTATATCAACTCTCTGGCACTCTACGCATTGTTAAAACTTTTTGAAAATTTTTATCGAATTTAATTACCACTGAAATTACAAGAAATTTCGTCATTGAAAATTCAGAATTTCGTGGAAGAATCTAAGAGAACTGTAAATTTCAATTCCATTTTTCCCGGAAATGAATAGAAAACCAGAAAATTCCGGTAAATATATTTTTTAATTTTCAGGCCAGTGACACTGAATGCGGTTGGGGGGGGGGAATCATGAAATTTCAGATTTCACTGAAAATTCAATGTAATTTGACACTGAATATTCATATTAGATTGGAAATTCAAATAAATTAAGGGATTCTTGTTCTTATGCTGCTTAAAATTATGGAATTTTACTGAATTTTCAGAGAAACCCAAAATTTCATGATTTTTTTCCCCCTGAATCGCATTTAGTGTCATTGTCCTGAAAATTAGTAGTCAACTGCCCATGAAATTTCATTTTTTTTCGAACAGTGTAACTCGCCTCAACTGAACTAATCTGTAAAACTTCTAGCTGATGACTTTCGCATTTGTAAAAAAGAAGAAATTCATGACTTTACTTTTAGCAATTGATGATCTGATGATGAGTTGGGTGAGAGTGTCAACGAAAAGGAATGATTGGAAGATGATGAGAATGAGTATGGAGATATCTGGTAGTAGTTACAAGCTCGTGTTTCAGGGGTGATCCTGTTCAGCTCAGTTGTATACTTCGCCGAGGCTGGAACAACAGACAGCTTCTTCAAATCAATACCGGATGCATTTTGGTGGGCGGTGGTCACAATGACAACCGTTGGCTACGGCGACATGAGGTATATAATTGTTAATATTACATCTGAAACGCGTTTTTTTTCGTTCTATTGCAGGTGTGGTGCTATTCTCCTCGGCAGTATACTTCGCGGAGGCCGGCTCCGAGAATTCGTTCTTCAAGTCCATTCCGGACGCGTTCTGGTGGGCCGTTGTCACGATGACTACCGTGGGCTATGGTGACATGACGTATGATGTACTCACTTTCATTAACATTTTAGTTTATTGCCACAGTATGCTCCTGTTTTCTTTTGGATCTTTGAGTTTCTTGGTTTACATTCAGTTTTATCGTTTAAAGTTTCATTTGGAGTTTTAACTGTTAATTTAATTTGAAAGTTTCACTAAATGGTTTGTTGATCAAGTAACTGATTGCCATTTATCCGCATTTCCCCCGAAAGATTGTTTTCTTAAACTCGTTTATTCTGTTAGTTTTGATTATTTTGATTCATTGGGTTGGTTATATTTACACTCATTGTTTTGATTTATTTGTTTTAATTATTGTGAAATAAAAAGTGATTCACGACTGTTTTTGAGGACTTTTGTTTACATTTTCTGATACACGGTGCCATATACAATAGAGTGATTATTGAATATTTGAGTCGCATTTATTTTCTCAGCGGAGAGCATTAGTACATTTTGCTTAGATAGAGGATTTATTTGAAGCATTTGTTATACACAGTTTGTGATTTGAAGGCATTTGATCCGCACCGGAATGCACTGTACGTTAGCACAAATTTTTTGACGTGAAATAGTATTGAATATTTGTACGCAATTCTTGGGAATAATTTTATTCGGGGAAAATTCTTTGTTACAGTTCCATGAATTGAATTCAATTGTAATACGTAGAAATTCGGGAGGTTTTGTTTGTATATCAAAGTGCCTCGTGAAACTGGGCATATTCCAGTGCCTGGAAGTGGACGGTATAAGTACGTCATTGATCCAGACTATCCGGGTATTATTATTTACGTTATTTTGTTTCGTTTCCGTGAATCAGAATGAAGTAATCAATTTGATTATTCTTTTTTTTTAATTCTTTACTTTCAGTTGAGTTTTTAACCCGTGATTTTAATGTAAAATGGAGTACGTCCGACGTCATTGTTACGAGCATTAAATTTGAGTGGACCCAGAACTTGATGAATATATTATAATAACGATAATAAATAAGGGAACAATGTGGAGAGAGGTTATCGTGATAAATATTGAAAAGTTTGAGGAAAACGTGCACTTCTTAATTGGATTGTTAACAATTTTGTCCGAATTAAGGGAGAGTCACGATCGTCCACTCGAGCTCTCTCGCATCCCAACAAAGAATTTTTCCAAAGTGTCAAGGTTTTTTTCATTCACCATCATCATTCCCCGAATTTTAATGCATGCACCTCAAGCCCAACTTGCAATTTGCGAAGAATGTCGAGGGAATGAGAGGCATGATGCTGAATTATGATTCGCTGTTTCACATTGCTCGGAGTCTGATGTAGATTTCCGCGATAATCTTCAAAGATAAAAATCTATTATGAAAAAAAAGCAGATTAATTAACCGCAATTTCGCCCACGCCCCCGTTGAAAATTCATATCATCAGTGAACCAATTTGTTTTACCTGAATTTTTCATCTCCTTCATTATGATTCAAATGAATTCCCCCAGTAGTTGGTTTTCTTTTAATTATTTTCTTTATTTTTCTGTTTGTGTATGTCCTACAATTGAGATAGCAAGATTCACTGAATCAGATTCACTCATGGATCCCATTATAATTATGCATTTGTGTGAACTACCAGTTGTACGATTAGTCGAACTAGTGAAGCTAATGATTGAGAAATTAATGGCCAAAGCTTTGAGAAAAAATTTGTAAGCTCGAGATAATGTAGAGCCCTTTGAGAATCGGTCGAGACACGTGAATTATTTTCATTGTGAAGAGAATAATTTACTAGATGAGCCTCTCGCAAGTAAAGCCACACTCGACACGGCACACCAAATAGACACCACACCTCGCACATAGCTCGTTTTTACAAGAATGAAGAAATGTTGCATTGAAATGAAGTAAGAGATACCGAAGTGTGCAATGTCTGGTCTCATTTGTAATTTTTCTTTCTCTTTTTTTTCAACAATGTTAAAGGCCTGTCGGTGTCTGGGGGAAAATCGTTGGATCACTTTGCGCGATTGCTGGTGTGCTGACGATTGCCTTGCCAGTGCCAGTTATCGTCTCAAATTTCAATTACTTCTATCACCGTGAGACTGACCAGGAAGAGATGCAGTCACAGAACTTCAATCATGTGACCAGCTGTCCGTATCTCCCTGGCACAATAGGTAATTATCAGGGTGCAGTGGTAGTTGAAAACAAATTACTCCTTCTTGAGCCATTCTGCGGTCCTCGAATGCAATTTAACGATGGAAAATCTTATAAAGTTCGTATTGAAGATCAAAATGATTGAAATGCTCTCAAAAGACGAGACAATTTTTCATGTTTCCAAATTAACGGAAAAAATGCTCTTATTCTTATTCTAATGTTCATACGTGTTAAAGTAACTCGAGGGTAAAAGAAGTGTCACATGGTCAAGGTCCAATCAGCCGTTGTAAATCCCTTTACTCAGGAAGCCTCAAGACGTTTGATTTGACACCCGCAAATCCCATAAATTGTTCCCACCGTGTTTTTTTTTCTCTCCATCCACTTATCTCAAGGCAATTGAGGAATAAGAGAGACAGTACATAATGCTGAAGTGTGTTAACAGGTCTTTAGATTTGGTTTATTGAATAATTTCATTGAAGCAGAATTGTTTCGCATAGGTCAACACAAAAAGAGCTCGATGTCGGAGTCGTCGTCAATAATTGAGCTTGAGGATGGTATTTTGTTAACCCAGCAGGATGTTGCTAAAAAGCCAAACTGCAATAATCCCCGTTACAATAACAACATTGCAAGCATTGAGACTGACGTCTGACTACTAGGTAATATTTTTCAAACTTTTTGGAGAATATTACGCACGAAAAAATTTTATAGAAAAACCTATTGAATTCGTTAGAAAATTCGATTGAATTTCTATCACACTTTCTATTAGCTTTTGGCTGATTCTATTGACATGTTCAATAAAAAACATACAATAGATAAAGTCAACAGAATTCGATTTTTCTATATAACTTATTCTTTTCATATATTTTCTATAGAATTTGCTCCACTCAAATTTTCCAAGTTTTTTTCATTCTATTTCTCTTTTCTTCTCATTAAGACAATCAAACGAAAAAACTTGAGCGAAAATTTGAGCCGAGGAAATTCTATAGAAAATATCTCAATAGAATAAGTTATATAGAAAAATCGAATTCTGTTGACTTTTTCTATTGTATGTTTTTTATTGAACATGTCAATAGAATCAGCCAAAAACTAATGGAAAGTGTGATAGAAATTCAATCGAATTTTCTAACGAATTCGATAGATTTTTCTATTAAATTTTTTCGTCCGTGATGATAGTGCACACAGAAAAATCTAAACGTAAACACCGTTTAGCCGAGTGTAATTGACAGTTTACTAAACGTAATTTATGCTCAACGCCAATATGATGTCTGGTGGATTTTTTTCAACTTCAAGCGTAAAAGACGACTTCTGAACCGTAATATATGTTTAGGTTTTTCTGTCTGAATATTTTATGAAAGATTTACTGCGTATGAAAAAAATTGAATCAAAACTCCATCGCTTTCGAAAAAATGTAATGATTTGTCTACACCAAACGATCACAATCCTAATCATTATTATATGCATTCCAATCAAACAGTGAAGGAGACGGTGGCAGTGTGGCGGCCATTGAAGAAACACATAATGAAGAGCATCAGCTCCCTCCGGTACCTGACATAAGGTTCGTCCCAATGGCACTGCGAGAGTGACTACGACGATAAAGATAATAAGAACCAGAACCACACGTCCAGCATTAACAAACACACAAATGATCACATAAACATAGCCAGTTTGTGTTACAACAAAACGTCGTGGTACAATCTTCAGCCTTCGAATGCAGCTCGATGTTATCTTGCATTTGCCGGAAGCAATTCGTAGACGCCATTTTGCACGCCGAATTGTGCATAATCGAGAGACATTGAGGGACCGATAAACGATGATTAACATACTTTTGGTACCAAAAATGCAATCAATTCAACGTAGGGAACGAAACTAAAGAACAAATGAGGAATAATCCGTGTGGATACACATTGTTATACAGTGTGCAACAAGCATGCCAATTGCTGTTTTCTCGCCCCACCACCACCGACTCCAGTGTTCAAAATATCTAATCTCCGTTAGCGCCGTAAAAAAACAAATTTCCCATGGACGAATTAAAGAGTTCAGGACTGAGAGAAGTGCGAGGAGAAAATGAGGAGAAGACGATGGATGAAGTAATGAGGAAATGACGTGTAAAGAAGCCACGATGAGAAGAGTGAGGGAAATCTAGAGGAATTATTTAATAATAAGGTCAATAAAAGAGTGGAAAAGAGGGGGAAACAGGGGGCAGGTGGGAGCCCCGGCGGGCCGCGAGGATCATACAAGATAATACTCATTATTATAATTAATAATTAATGAAAAAAAAACAAACAAAACGATTATATAAGGACGAAATAAAAAATGTTTTACGAAACGATATTAAACAAAACCAAAAAGACTACAGACGCAAGGAAGGCGGCGCCTTGCAGCGGTGAAGAAGAAAGAAATATATAAAATTATAAGAATACTAAAGAAGATTAAAATTAAATGAAAAAATTTTTTTATCGGTCGTTTTTACGAGAAAAAAATATAGACGCTTCGGCGCGTCTTAAATGTCGCATTAAGTCCTGCATATATATAAATATACGTGAAAAAGGGTATATTCATATATATATCTATGTATAATTTATTGGATGTGCGTGTATGTATGTTTTGTTCAATTTAAAAGAAAGAATAATCCAGATGATACTGAGGTGGGGTACATGCGCGCACAACCATGGACAGTGGGGCCGCGGCTCGAGGATGGTACCGTGGTAATACATATAAGAATTTATTAAAAAATGGAAATAGGAAGTTGACGAAAAAAAATCACAAATCGATGTAAAAATACTTAAAAAAACATGTGAAGAGGTCTTGTCGTTACATTTATTTTGTCATTTTTTTTTTTTCATCGAGAGCACCCGAACTCATTCCCGCGGGCGTCGCCGTACGTTGCACCAAGGGTGGAAGCTTTAAACAAAATATCTTCGAGTTATCTGATTACGTGACGATTGGTTCGTGGGAGCAGGAAGAGCACTCCGTAGGACTAAAGTACAAGGGTGAAAACGTCGGGTTAGGAGCGATGATACTGACGTGAGATAGGCGTGCAGGTTACACGAATCGTTTTGAAAAAACAAAGTGGAAAATGTCGTATGATGTGTACGTGACTGTGCACTGTGTCCCATCCTCTATTCCGTATGTCCCGGTGTTCCCTTGCGCGCGTTCCAGTTTCAGGTTTTCGAGCCTATGTGACACTCGAGGACGTCACATAGGGGTGACGGCAACTATTACTTTTGAAATGCTGAATTTTTTCGCGTTGTCAGGAAACTTTTCAACCTTTTTTTGTCTTATTGTTTTTTTACATAGCTTCGACTCGGTTGAGTATATCGCGGTGATGATCGAGACTTGAAAATGGCTAGATCTCGTCATTCTACCCGACCGGGATTTGAACTCGACTTTACCCACCGCGCCAGGCCGTCGGGCAAACCGTTCAACCTCAATTTGCAAAAAGAAAAATAATAATTACTTTTCATTTGAAGGGAATCATCTTCTTGTTATCTCAAAACGTATTGGGGCTGAAGGGGTCGTCTTCCCTGTCGTTTTAATCGCACCATTCGCAAGATTCAATTTTTCAGCGCTTCACCTTATTCTTGTAAAAGATTCCCGTTTCCGAATTCGAAATTATTCTGAGATCTTGAGAATTGTTCCGGAATAATGCTCCCTCCGTACAGCTTTGTTGGATATTTTTCTTGTCCTCTCGTACCCCCAATTATGAGATACTACTTTGCATCAGTTAGTAAAAGCAATTTGATTCCCAAAATTTGCGAGTGAACGAAAGGAGTAGTGGCCGGAACTGCCGCGCGAGTGATCATAGTTAAATCTTCACTTAATTTTCATTATAAAAACTCATTCTTTTGGGCGAAGAAAGGGTTCAAGTGAGAGCTTGGAATTAAAACGCAAAGCGTAGCCAATCCTTCCTGCCGATTCCATATTGTACCAGCTAGCGTCTACTTTTCAAAAATGATGAAAAACTGTAATTACTCTACTTAGCCGTAAAAATGATATTTCACCGTCTGTGTAAACAAACGTATTGTACAGTATGCTTTTTTTTCTTCCAGCGAATCTGGTGACTGCCTATCCTACTTCTCATAGTTATTTAATTGAAGAAAAAAAGTGGTTAGACACGAAGATTCTTGAGGCCCGGCTTTTACGGGATATTCGCCATTGTGAAAGAGAAAAAAATTATCCATCCATATACCGTCACACTGGTTGAGAGGTCTAAAATTTGGAACACGTGTTCATTGTAAAAAAAGCAATTGAGTTTTTCTCACAGTTTCAGAGTTTTGTTATGAATTTATATTTGTCTCCTGCGATGGACAAATTTCGATGAGAAAAAGCTCGTAAATTATTTTATAAACAGGGTGAAAGTGCACTAGCTTAAATTTTTTCCAAATTAGAATAATTATGTTAATTACATGAGAATTTGACCTAAGTGATGGGAGTAAGGAGCGACCACTCGATCATTATTTTAGAAGACCTCTTACCGTCCCACTTGATCTCCCTCAAATTTTTTAACCGAGGAATAAAAACCCGCTCAGCCGCGAGCTAAGAAAAACCATTTTATTGATGAAAAAGTCTGGCAAAAATGTCCCGATCGAATTCCTAGGTTATACGTTGAGACAAGCCCTAGGTGTAAATTTGCATTAATAGCCGTAATGGTTAGGCTAGAATAATAGAAACAATTCTTGGGAATAAATTACTATTAAGAATGAGACTACATGATCATTACGACGCGAAGTTGACATTATATCATTACGGTTAAATATCATTAGGGTGCAAAATTTCATGACTTGTTTTATTTAATTTACTGTTGTTGATGAATTACGTTTCAATCGGAACGATTACATAATAGAGAATTGATAACGGGGCTAGATAAATTGGAGTTTGCGCCAAAATTATTCTACTTTTCGGTGAATAGGAGCAATTGAAATGTCGACGACACAGAGGGAAAATATCGTTGGAGCCGTGATGAGAATTCAGATCTGTCAGACGGAACAAGAAAGTCGTACACACCATACACACATTACATCAACATACGAACCGTTGTTCTATTAAAAATTATCCATCAAATTTTAAACGAAAATTCAATTCCTTATAAATTTTTCACTCTCAAAGAAATCGTCATTTCCCATCGCCTAAGCATAGGAGTAAATTTTATCAAAACCATTCAATTTTAATAGTAAAGAGAGAGATAAAAAATTAAATAAATAATGACTTTAGAGATTATGAGAGAGAGAGCAATAATTACACGATTTACGTTACCATGCTTTTAATACAAGTGATGAAAAATATTTGAATTTCTCGCCTTGCTGATTTAGTGGAAAGTACGATGCGTCAAGAAACAGACTAGCTTATTTAATGATGAAAAAAATTGATGAACCCAACTATTCTATAACAATGATAAAATTTACTACTGCTACTATACTATTATACTACTGCGAAACTTATTAATATTAACTATTACCATCTAACGAGGTGATAACTATGGTAAAATCAATACATACCAAACTACTCTGGTAGACAGTGTGGTACTAGAATACGCAAACACGTGAAGAATAGTCGAGTAATTAAATAGTCGTGTAATTACATGAAATATTAAAACCATTTTGTGACGATTGAAGCGAGAGCAATGAAAAATTTTCATTCTAATAACGAAGGTACGACAATAGGGAAATTCTCTTAATTTTCGCCCCGCAATTCTAATCTTTCATTGTTTATCCTGCATTTATACGGTTCATTCATAATTTGTAAAGAGTAATTCATAATAGAACGGTTCATTGTATGATTTTTCGATGAGTGAAATTCTCAGTGTAAATTGAATATGAAAGAAACGCCAAAATGTGTTTAATTTTTCGACGAGAAAATGCCCGCGAATCCATTGGACTTCCATTATTTATTCGCTCGACTGCTAGACAACACGCGATAACACGCAATATTTCAATTTCACGCAATTTGTTTATTTCGAGATTAATGATTAATACACAATTTAATATGACACATGGAAATCGCTGAAATACGCCGAAAAGTTAAATGTCAATGTGGGGTAACGTTTTGGGGGAATAATTGCCTCACTGAGCTGTGAACCAGGTGATGTTAGCAATTATTATGGAAATGTCATCTCCTGAACTCTCGAATTTGAATTGAATTCCTCAAATTTATACTAAATAATTCATTTGTTAAATGATTCGAGTTTCGATACTCTTTAAATGCTCTGAAATTTCCGGCAAGAGTTCTGGAATTTTCTGACAAGTGACATTTCCACTGAAGTTTCAAGGAATTTTGTCATTGAAAATTCATAATTTCAGGGAACTGTAAATTTCAGTTTAATTATTTCGAGGAAATTCATGAAAATCCAAGAAAATTCCTCCAAAAATTCGAATAATTTTAAAGGAATTTCCTGAAAATTTAAGGGAATTTGACAGTAAATATCAATTCTCACTTAGAAATCCTACTCCATATCATTTGATATGTCCGTTTCTCTGAAAATTCATGGAAAGTTCTAGTGAGTACAAGAAAGGTCCAGAAAGGTACAGAAGCCTCTGGAAAGTTCGCGAAACGTCTGGAAAACTACAATTTTCCGATGCAGAATGTTCCAGAAGAGTCTGGAATATTCGTGAAATCTTTAGGAATTTTCGCGATTAATTCAGAAGTTAACGCTTCGGAAAATAATAGGTTTTAGAAAGTTATAGGACAAATTTTTACAGTAATTTTGCGTAAAGTTACCGTAAAAATTTATAAAAATTTCTCGATTGATTTGAGAGTTTACGACAATATTTCAGAATATCCTAGACTTTTCTAGTATTTATCGCCTAAATGTACCTACATGAAAAAAATTGGCCACTAAACGCACTAGTTCATGTAAATTGTAAAATTTCCGTCTTCCTGCCGCTAAAAATGGGACTTCACATGAATATTCAGAGAAACCCGAAATTCCATTGACTTCCTCCCCTTAAATCAAATTCAATACTTTTTCCGGAAAATTCAGTCAATTTTTTTAAACAGTGTAAAATCCGGATTCAGTTGGTCCAGAGCTCAGTGAATTAAACTCATGGCATTGTGATCCTGAGTGAAAAAATGGTACTGCACCCTGAGAAAAATGAATCGCTGTATCGTGAATAAATGAATCCAGTAGGCATTCCGAGACGTAAAATGACGAATTAATTTTGCTAAAAAAAATGCTGAGAAGATCCTATTAGAGAAATCAATTATCGAGAGAAATAAATTTAACCGAAATAATAAATTAAATTCGTTGCTGACGCGTAGCATAAACAAGAGGAAAAATGCACTGAAGAGTAGAGTTTAATCAGGCTGGCATAGAGTCTAACGAGAAATTAATAAAAATTGATTAAAAACGAGAAAAAAACACTAGTGCCGGTGCCGTTGCACATCCCTTATTGCACTGAGAGAAAAATATGATTCTTCTGACTATATTCCATCAGCATCGAATTATAGTAAAAAAATCCTCAACAATTTTTCATGGGTTACGGTAACTATGGCCGGAGAAGTAATTACTACAATGGAATGTAGTCATTGCAACTATTTTATAGTTCTACTCGCGATAGATTTGTCATGGTTACTTTTGAGCTTTGGTTAGTTTAACTGCATTTTAATTTGCAAAAATTACGCTTGTGAAGTTACTATAATTTTATGTGCCACATACAAAAAAAATCGTATCGTTCACCAAACTGCCTCAACTATTTTCTTATTGTAAATCGAACTTCAAATTTTTCTCTCAGTGTGGCAACAAAACTTTCCTCTCCGTATGATTTCCCACAACCAGAAAAAAATTTGACCCACCTGAACCTTCATTTCTCCTCATCAACAAGCATATCAGCAAAAAGCTTTTAGCAGCAATATCACTGAATTTTTGTAAACAATTCCATAGGAAGCATGTCCAAGACATATGAAATAATTGTATCCGAATTCATCGCGTGAATTTGCAATAGGGAATGTTCGAATGGCACCTCACGAGACACGAGGGGTGTGTGACAACGTGTGCGACCGCTCGTGGATCGAGCTGACCGCTTTCAAGTG